TCTAACACGCCCGTTTCTTTATAGAAGAGAAACGACAAAATAAATATTGTAGAAGTATGCATTTAAATTCTCAATGAATGATAACTACCCTTGATATTTGCCAAATCAGATATTTTGGCTTCTGCGTAATCGCTATTATTTGTCAAATCGTCATCTACTTCCAAAACAATTTTTGTTGAATTTCCTGCATCTTCGGACACAAAATTCGATATGCCCATTATGGAGTTCACGGCTTCAGACGTTTCCTTCTGAAACATTAAAATAACATTACAATACATATTATTTCAATTTCCTGATTTGCATAAAGAACAATGCAATTTAGAAAAGCAAGCTACTAGAATACATACAAATGCATATTAGGATAGATGTTATTATTTTGGAATAATCGTTTTGCCAAATTGTTAATAATACACACAAAAACTAATCAAGCTAACTTGGGTACCTACTCTGAATCGCTTGGACCGCACCTGCGAGCATATTTATGATTTTTTTTTTAACATAAGAATGTGAATGCACGCATTTTTTTTTTTTTTGACAGATAAGCACAAACAGAAAAGCACAAATAAAATTAAATTTAAAGCATGTAACTTCGTTTAACAATTCTAAATGTTGCATTACAAGTATAACTAACACTTTTTCGACATTTAAAAGCTATTTTATTCTCACCTCATGTTCTTCATTATATTTGCGGTTAATTTGCGATTGTCGCGCTAATTCCAGTTCCTCGAGTAAATCCGCTTGTTCCGTCATTACTGCAATTGCAATCGGTGTTTTGCCGAATTTTGATGTTATAGTAACATCGGCGTTGTGTTTAAGCAGAAGACGTGTTATGGATTTGTGGCCTTTTTCAACTGCCCAATGCAGTGGCGTCATTCGTAGCTACAGAATTTTTTTAATTTAAATTAACAAGATTTCCTATGTTAGAATTACATATAACTTGATTTTCATATTCTACATACCATATCTCGCGGATTTACCAAACATTTCTTGGATAGTAATAGTTCCACTATGCGTTCATTGCCATAGAAGCAAGCCATATGCAAAGGTGTGCGATCAACTTTTGTTTTAGAGTCCTTATTTATCCCGCCTTTTAGTAGAGCATCACAAACTTCATATTGGTTATTCATAGCCGCAAAGTGTAACGCTGACATACCCAACTGAAATAAACAAACATTAATAACTGAAGAAATGAACATACGTACAAAGATTTCCAAAAAGTTGTGGGGAGTTCCGTGAAGTGACACTTACCCAATCCGAGGTGAAAGGAGCACCGCGCGACAACATATTTTTCGCTCCTTTCAGATCACCGTCTCGCGCGTAATGTAATAATTGTTTTCCCAGATCAACAACAGTCGTGGGAGCACTGAATGTATTGAGCGTCTTATTGCTTACGTCCACTTCAGTGCGCTGAAGTAGGCCCCGACGAATGTGAAACAAAACAAATGGAAAATCATTGAGTGCAAAATTTAACTAATTGTAGCGCGCTAGAATACTTACAATCTTGTAGTTCATTAAATTCACTAATTGCCCAATGGAAGTTCCACTAGCAGGATAGACACTTCCATCCGCTCGCAAAGTGGCCACAACTTTATTGTCGCCACCGCCGACGCCGCCTACCATTTTCTATGCCAATTTTTTTAGGCGGTTCGCCTTTATTGCAGTAATGCTGGGCCTACCTTGAATGCGAATACAGCTGAAGTGAAATCTGGAAAAACATTTGGAAAATGTTGAATTTCTCAAACAAAAACTTAAAATTAAAGGAAAAGGAAACAAGGCGTACGTACAAAAAGAGCAAGCTTTTTCTTTTCCGTCACTTGGTTTGCGCCGATTTCGTTTTGTGATGTTGTTTCGGATAAAACAAAAAAGGGCAACGATAATGGCAGCACGAGCAGGGTTGCATGCGACAGTGTTATCGCGCTAGTTATTCTTGCACAGGTAGGTATATGGGTAAGAATTTTGTTTGTCATGAATTACTTAATGATTATTGCATTTATTGTAGCCAGATTAATTTTTGGTAATTTTTTTAAAAGCATAACATATACTTATGTACATATATTTCATTTTTAAGTGTGTTTTGTTTTAACCAGCAACTTATTCGAGCTTTTGTCATATTAAGGTTATAAAATTTATAAAACTTTGTCTTGTTCATCTTTTTTCAATAATTTTTGTCGCAAATTAAGCAAATAACTTGGTATGGTACACACATCTAGGTACAAAATTTAATTCAGTATCGATTTCTTAACGGAAGTGCAACTAGTGGCGTCACTTACCATCAATTACAACCCTGTATCGGGAAACGGTGAATACTCGCTTTGCAAATGTCTTCTCGTCGTAGCACGGAAATGTCGGAGAAACGTATTTTGCAAAAAACTACTTCCATGTGCCACTTTACTTACCAGCTAATTACCAACCACGATATTTTTTAAATAATCATTAACAATTTTTAGATATCCTCTTATTAATTAATTAATTTTATTATTAATTAAATTTTTTTTTCCACTTAATTAATTAATTGTTGAAGCATAAACTCGATTGGCCACTTTCAATGTTTCCGTTCTTCTTTTTCCTGCCTTTTCTCCAACGTTAATCAGACTTCTTGTGGATTCGACCTTTGGTTGACGTTCGTTTGCACATATGTATGTACGTATGCAAGTTCAAATACTAATATACATACATACATACATATATACAACTATGCATAAATATTTATGTTCATACATATATGTATATATGCAAGCTGCTTTGTGCATTAACGCTCAACTGAGTTTATTCACATCCGTTTAGGTATGTGTATGTGGCGTAGCGAAATAGGGGCAACGAAAAAAA